AAACGGGTGGCGGGGACCTTTTCTTTTTTGGGGGATGGGCCAAAAAAGGGGGTCCGGCCTTAAAACAGGGCCGGTTTTCCGGAAACCCCCGAAATTAATCCCCCCCGTTTGGTTTGGGGTTTTTTTTTTTATTTCCCCAATTTGTTGGGGGGAAAGGGTTTTCCCCAAAAATCCCCTTCGGGAAAAAAGGAAAAGTGGTTTGCCACCCCCGGCCGGGCCCTAAAAAAAAGAAGTTATTACTCCCGGGCCCCTTCCCCTTCCCCATATTTTTAAAGGGGGGGGCACACGTTTTTTAACGGGAGGCGGAATTTTTTTTCCCCCCCCGTTTACCTTTTTCCCCCCCCCCCCCCCCCCGCCGGTGTTTGCCATCGGGGTTGGGTTTTCGTGGCTTGGCAACGACGTTGCAAAACATGCCGCCCCCCCCGGTGTTTGCCATCGGGATTGGATTTTCGTGGCTTGGCAGCGATGTTGTAAAACAAGCTGATCACTTCGTGAGCTCGGCAACCAGGTTATCGCTTTTTTTTTTACCTCGTTATTTTTTTTGGTCGGTAACCATGATGGTGGTCGAGTTGATTATGTTGTGCGGGGTCGAGGACCTTCACTCCGCGCAAAGGGGATGATCGCACCACGTTGTGTTAAAATGGTCAAGCATTCTCGAGGCAGTTACACAGCGCTTACAACTGTCTCTGGAAGTGAAAGCACCAGAAAATAAATTAAGTCAAACGCAGCTGTCATCCGTACGCAAGGAAGTAAGCACAAGATGCCGAACACCCTTAGCAGGGTGCAGCGCACCCTTCATGCGACTCGCCGAACACCTCACGGCGCTTCGCGCTTGGTGATGTGAGAGCCTGGTCCGGTGAGAATCCGGCGTGCCCCGTCCCGGCTTTGTAGGGATGCGAGGTCAATGGTCTAACGACTACGGCATGCACGACTATGAGTACACCGCCCCCCCCCCCCCCCCTACTACACGTCCACGGGGCCGCCACCTGATGCCAACGTCACACGTCCGCCGCCGCAGCCGGGGTGCTCGCGACGTAGCAGATGGACGCCTCCAGCACCGCGGACGAGGCAACCGTGGCGATGGACGCCGTGTACGCTCCCATCTGCGAGAAGTACAGCCAGTCCCCCGGCCCGAGAGACGAAGGGAGGCGTTTTCGGGCCACCACGTCCGTCGGGAGGCCGGACGGCCCCATCACGACGGCGTGCTCTTCGTCTGCGTCCCCCGCTCCCTCTCCCTCTCCGCCTCCTTCTTGTCCCTCTGCCGGTGATGGTGCTGGTGCCAGTGCTGGTGCTGGTGCTGCGCTTTGCCCCGCCCTGTCGTCTCCGTGCTGTGGTGCCCCCCCCGGCGGCGCGCGGTGTCCGGCCGGCGGCGACGACACCGGGCAGGGCTCGAAGTTGACCCCGCACAGAACCCTATCCTTGAAGCAGCCGTTCACTCCCTCGGCGATGTAGTAGGCTGTCGTCTTTCGCCGCCTCCCATCGTCCGTGGTGGTGGTGGTGGTTGTGTTGTCCCCACCGGCGTTGCTGCTGGCGTCAGCACCGACTGGTCCATCACAACAACCGGCGGTAAGAAAAAAGAGAAGAGAGGCGGGGGAAAAGAGAGTTTTGTTGTCCTTGTGGAGGTCATGGAGGCTCGGGGGCGGCGAGTCTAACGTGCTCGATGGAGGATTAAATGTTACCATGTGTTACCATGTACGTATTGTTGTTTTCTGAGGAGGAAAAGTGATCCACATCAGCTAAAAGGACTGCCCGGCATCGACGATAGAGACGGGATTGCCCGCCTTCCACAGAAAGAGACGCTGCGGGCGTTATCAACTCCCGCCCAGAGGGAACAAGTTACACTGGAAGCAGTGTAACGGAAACACGTTAGGAGCTTCCCCACCGCACATCTCTTAAAGGGCACACCTACCTCCGAAGGAAGACGGAAGGAATGCACACGGGGAGCGCGTACCTCCCTCCGGGGTTGATCAGAGTCTCACCGTCAGCAACCATCGTCGGGGGTAAACAATAATTCGACCGTTTCATTCTCTAGGAACCGGCCGGCAGGCGTACACGAGGCCGGCATGCAAAACCGCGCCAACAGCATGGGAACGACACTGCACTGGCGCGAGTGCAGAGCGGCCTGTCGCCTATCTGTATCTAGCATAGATTTAGATTGTTCCCAGTTCGGAGGGGGCTGGCGGCACCCTCGCTTCCACACACCTTGCAGGGCGAGAGACCTCTTGGCGTAGATACGTGCCAACAGGAGGTGGCTCGCCTCCACAAAGTACCTTCCCGGCTCTGCTATCACCTAAACCGAAAAACAAAAAACAAGACGGTTACAGCACCAACCGGCACACGGGCGAGAAAAGGAGAGCATCACGACGACGTCGGCGATAGTACAGCAAGAGCGGTGATGGTGGGTGGCTCGGACGGGTCGTTCTGGACGTACACGACCGAAGGCATTGACGGTGGGAAGAAGAGGAAGCCGGGGGCGCCGGTGATCACGAAACAAAGACAGGGGGGTGTCGACGGGGCCTTGGAGAAGACGCCACGATGCTATTATCGATCCTCGTGCAAAAGGGGCTTGCCAAACTCAGGACGGCGACCTTGACCCCTTTGGTTGAGGGGTCAACGCTCCCGATGTGTATGAACATAGGCCTGCAAATAGTAGGGCGATGAACCATCCCGCAAAGAAATCTCATCTTGACCATGAAAACCGAGACGTCAGGGAGATATCCCCGTACTCAAGCACGCTCTGCGTCACCAAAGAGAACTAAAAAAAAAAAAAAAGGTGTGTCCTATACCGCCCATGGAGTCTCCGCACCATGGGACCTGCGACAGGCAGCACTGCCTCACCCCAAGCCACCACCGAACTCCACCCCTACCTGCACACCGCTCCCGGGAGGGAACAGCTCATCCAGGACCGGTAGAGTAACTCGAGCGATCTCGGCCAATGAAAGAGGCGGCGGCGGCGGCGGCGGACGCGGCGGGCACGGCAACGAACATCCATCGGAAACGTCTTCGCCTCCACCCTTGACGCCGCCACCATCGCCCGAGACGGTGCAGGCCGAAGCAGTGCCGCCGCTACCCCCGTCCGGCTCGTCCCCTCCTCCCGGAGTCGCCGCCGCATCCGTGGCGGAAGGCGGACTGCTCTCTCTCGTCGCCGCCGCCGCCGCCGCCGTCCCGTCGTCGGGCGACGGCCGTCGATAGACGTACTCCGACCCGTCCCACCCGGGAAACCCGCCTCCGATGTCCAGCAGCGTGAGCATTACTCCCTTCTGCGCGGCAAGGTCGAACACCGACTTCGCCACGGCCAGGGCTTCGGGGTATGCTTGCGCGTTCTGGCAGCCGCTGCCGCAGTGGAAGCTGCTATGTGCAGCCGGGGTGTTGAAAAAAACAAAAGGCGGGTTCGAGGTTGGGGAACGTTAACGTTTGCAGGGGATTTGTGGGAGGCGAAGAGGGAGGCGGCGCGACGGGAATGAGGTTTCGTAAGCATCGGGGGAGAGAGCGTTCGAGGTCCCACCAACTTAACGTCACGTCCCTGTTTCGCATCCCTGTTTCACACACACATCCATGTTTACACGCGTCCCTGTCACACACATCCCTGGTGCACATCCATGTCACACATCATCCCTGTTACGCACCCCTGTTAGGACACATCCCTGTGCTTCATATCGCTGTGCCGACATCAAAAGTTTTATCTCTTATCCCGGAACCTAGATCGCGAAAGCGTCTGATCCTCACCTGATCCCGACAAGAGGAAGGCGGAGCTCGACGGCCAGCGAAATCTGCGAGAACGAGCGAAAGCCAACGCAAGAAGCAAACGGGAGTGCGATTGGAATATCAGATTGAGAGACGGACGTCGGCACCTTGTGCGCCATGTACCGGGTAGGCGCGGGCTGGGGGAGGGTTAGTCATCCCCTGTCTTTTCCTGACGACACCCCCCGTAATTCCGTCTTCATTTCCGGCATGAAAGAATGGGAGGCGCACAAAGAAGTTATTTAGCGAAAACCCCTCCCCCGGTCTTTGTACTTTGACGACGTGACGTCAAGATCTAGCTGCGAGGCTTCCCCTCTCACCAGCTCGCTGCAAGCCTCCTCCGGTGCCCCGTACTTCTCTCCGAGAGGGCAGTCGGAGTGGCTGTCCGGGACCCGCAGCCTCAACACCAGTTGCACGACGCTAGATTCACCCAAGCCGCCGTCGGACACCTGTACATATCCAGTGGACAGCAACGAACACACCGCGATGATGCAGACGGGCAATGGTGCACTCAATCGTTGGTTACCTTTGTAGCATTTTCTCCCACCGACCGTCAACCCCTTCCTAAACGCAACACCTAGTATCCTCATGATCCAGAAGACGCCTCCAACATTGGAGAAAACTCTGTGCGACACGCGCAGGGGGCTTCGCCGACGAGAAGTACCGAGCGACGATCGCGCGACAAGGAGCGAGCGATACAAGCTCTCTCTCTCTCTCTCTCTCTCTCTCTCTCTCGAGAACCGCTGTTCACATACGAGCCGTGCTTCGCGAATGAAAACAGAGTCCGCGATGCTGAGTGATTCGACTCTTACATTCAAAGGTCGAGATCGTTTCGACCAAGAGACCTGTTGTATGGAAAACAAACAGAATGTTGTAAATTACCAAAATTATCAGAGCGGCTCACCCCACGGACAAGCACCAGTATCTCATTCTGGCTGTGCGATGTCGCTGGGTATACGCTCCGTGCGCTCGGAGTCGGCGGGAAAAGAGAGTGATACCGTGCGCACATCAACTCGACCTCACGTTCAAATAGTGCCCCGAGCCTCTCTTTCTCATGAGATGATATTCGCAGAGGTGACAACCTTGACCCTCTTTTTCTTTTCTTTTTTCTGTTACTCACCTTTGCCCGAGTGTCGAGTAGCCGTCTAATCTTGTACAGCTCGTCCTTGCTATCGAACGTCATCGTCGCGACACCAGCTGCGCGGTTGAATCGGGCAAGCGCCAACAAAAACGAACCAAGTGTGGGGAAACGCGACCTTTGCTTCGGAGATTGTCAACAACGTTACTTCGGAGATTGTCAACAGTCCACACCCACCCACAAAACAAAGCAGATCCTTATCCTTCCCTCACGGAGGAGTGAGGTGTTGTTGGCGGTAGACGTGCAACCATTGTGATTGCACAAGTTGTTCATGAAGCCGAACGAGACGACACCCATTCGTAGGACGGAAGGCGTCCACCGAAAGCTAGTTCCAGAACAGCAAAACAACATCAATTTTTCCGCGCGAAGAAGTGGAGGGGGACAGTGTCAAACAGCGAGGCAAGGCAGTCTTCCACCTCCCATGCGCACGGAAGTAGACGCGTGTAACCCAGTCGTGATCGTGGCGGTGGCGGTGGTGCCATGTAGCAATAGCCGTAGCTGTGGCTCTCACCAGATAACGCGTGCTCCAGCGCGGCTAAGTCCTTGCAAGGGTTGGCGTAGATGATGCGAGACGGGTCCACGCCGCACTCGAGCACCTGGTCCATCTCGGCGGGACTAGCGCAGTCAAACCCGCACCCGGGGGTGGCCGCAAGCACGCGCACCACCTCGGAGTTAGGGTTGCACTTCACCGCTGCCACGCGCGAAAAATGGCGAGGGAAAATTGCACTGGAAGCGTTTTGATTGCACCCCGACCCGAGCAACCGGCAGCGGTCGAGTGGGCGGGAAGTGATATCGATAGGATAAGATAGGCCAGGGGAAAAAATTATTGAGCCACCAAAAGTAGGCAGGAATGGTTGGTCACTTGTAGGTGATCCGTCCTGTGGGAACAGTGTTCGATCCTCTCGAGGACTTGTCAATGAAATAACGTAACCGCTAGGGCTCGCAAAACATGAGTACGCGCCCCCCGGCCCGGGTCGAACAACACGCCCCTTCGTGCCTCGAGTGTAGGTCGCTCGCTTCGCACTCGTACAATTAACACCTCACGTACGTACGCCTTCTCGTGGACAGGGTGAACGAATGAAGCGGGTTCTTGCTCACCGTAGAAAGGTTTGACCCGAGGAAAGCAGTCGTGCCATCTCCGGTACTTGTGCAGCACGCACTCGAGGTCTACGGCGAAAAAAACGTCGGAGGAAGTACTACCACCGCCCAAGTCACCGCCCGTACTCTCGTCCGCTGTGTCTCGAAGACGTGCCTGCAGAAGGAGCAGAGGACACGCGGTGGATAGACCCAATCGATTTGTGCGCTTGCCTGCACGCTACATTGCCAACCAACATCTGGTCTACCCCCATTGCTTCACGAGACTATATCTCTATTTCATACAAACTACATGAGGGTCGCTGACACGCAACAGGTTTAGACGGGAACACAACAATGACGTGTGCATCGGATATGAACTCCATCGACTTCGTCTACCGTTCTTCGAGCCTGCCACGTGTCAATGCTTGCCCCCTACGGGACGAAAGTATGGGACAATTGTTTTTCCCATAAACTAGCTTTTCCGGATTGAAGGGTAGTGGAAAAGACACAAGAAACACACGAAATACTGCGTGGCCGATCTCAACTTTTTACTGGTAAATTTACGTTTAATGTGAAGACAACAACAACAGCAACAACGACGCTTCGCGTCCTGCAATCCTTTACAGCAGTACCGTGTTGCAGCAGTATTGCCATGAGGGTCAATCAAATCGCAAAAAAATCCCGCAAAATTTCACGCTTCCGGTCTTGCGTGCAGATTTCACGAAAAATTTCACGCCTCCGGAACCGGATCGGTGAAAAGAGCAAGGGAAAAGAAAAACTGCGTGCTCCTTTCACTGATGAGAAGGATCGGGCAGGCGCACCGCGGGCGCTGTAACGTCACTGAGAAGGCTAGCAAGGCCAGCCAGACTCACGTCCAGGTCTATTGCGGACATAATCCAGCGGCAGAAGCCGGGTTCAGTCCGTTCTTGGGGTCCAAACCGAGACATTGGATGGCCCTCTCGTCTTGAACTGCTGCTGTTGATGCTCGGGATTTTGTCTCTATCACACATGACAAACACGGAAACCGTAGAACCGGTTTAGCAGCAACACTAAGACCTCCAACGCGCCGATTCCTTCGGTTCGGCTGTCTAGATTATACTCACTCCCGGCGCTGTGTTGCTTCGTGGGTATTGGGGGCTTGCGTGCTACTCCAAGAAGGTGTGATAGAGATGTGTGCAACCTCGCCAAGCTGCCGCTTGAAAAAATGCGGTGAGATGGCCTGTTTTTGGTCGGAGACGGCAACACAAATCCACGGCACCACGCAGCACCAGAGCAACAGGGCCTCCGACACGCTAATTCTTTCGGATTGGTCATGTATATGATGCTGGCCCTCAGCGCCGCTGCCGCCCTATGATTGTTGAGGTCGTCTACCTGTCGATCGACAGGCTGTGGTCAAAGAAGGGGGTCGCAACGGTGATAATGAGCCGGCAAACTAAGAAATTGCAAGCAACACTTGAGCAACACCCAAGTTGCGAAATCGACCCTCCGCCTGTTGCTGAAAACAGCAGGCCGGGTGGACGGGGTCTTTACAAGTGTGCTGATCTTTGTGTTCGGGTGCTGCTCTTTGCGCTTTTACCGCTGCTCTATGGTGAGCAAAACCAAGTCAACCTGTTGTATGTCGAGCAAAGCATGCATTCAGCGAAGGAGCCGTATTCTTGCGATGCCATCACGATTATGTAGAATGTAGAACAAGCGCCGTTTTTTATCACCGTGTTCCGTGTTTTCAATCCCTAAAATCTGGGTTCTGATTAGAACGGACCTTCTGTAGCCTTGGCGGTGTTGGCGGGCTACAGAGTAGACTACGCGCACAAGAATTGCAGGGTATCTCTGTGATACACTGCTAGATTCGAAGAACATCACCCTGTGCCACACGAGTCGCAGGCATTGGTGTTGGTGTGAGCCACGGCGTTCATGATGATATGATAATCCTGTTTTACATCAACCGTGGCACACACGGGAGGGCTGCATTACTTACCTCTTGCCGGCCGACTTCAACCATGCTCGGCAGCCAGCCCTTAGACCCAGCGACTGGTACCTGAGGCAAGCGTCTACTGGAAACGTCCGCCGTGCTGCCCCCGTCAGCAACATTGGGCAGCATGGAGAGGGCGGTGAAGTCCACAGCTCGGTCCAATTGCGTATCTAGGAGCAGCTTTACTGCGGATGTCAGGGGCTCCATGGCCATGAACTAAAGCTACCTCGATGGCCCCGAAGCCATCCAAACGGGGACGGCCAACAGAATCGAAGTCAGCAGGCCTAGCTCAGCCAGGTGTGTGCGCTGGCTAGCGTATGTGAAGGGTCGAACGTGCGGTGTGCAGGTTGCAAGGCTGCAAGGCTGCACGGTTAGCAGAGTCGAAATTGCGCCGCACTTCCGAGCCCGAGCTGCGAGGTTCCGCCGCATATTCGGGATGTGAGGGTGTGAGGGTAATGAATCCTGATACATGTATCCAGATCCCCTTGCCGCGCACCACATGGATCCTCTGTCAGGCCTAAAACCCTGCAACCGAGCACCTCGATGAGCCTGGCCAAGCGCAACAGTGAGGCGGCGGCGAAGTGGGCAGCGAAACGCCGTGAGTCCCAAGAACGAGCGCTGCTGCAAGAGCGATCCTTATCGTCATCGATTTCGCGAAGAAGAACACCAGCATGCCGTGAAACACAGCCGCCGCCTAGGAATGCGGCATCAACATCACACGAAGCTAACGCCGCGTACATGGAAGATTTCCGAAAAGGCATGGCCGATATGTACCTGGCCCTGGAAGGGCCAGGTGGCACCAAAGCGGATCTCGGCGCTTCCGCAGCTGTCGGCTGTAGCAATACCAGAACAACAGCTTTATTAGGCAATCTTCCTAGCCAGTACGGTAAGAGCCCCCAAGAGAGGATCAGCCATCGAGAGCCCCAGGGACGAGCAGGTCGCTTTGGCGGTTCTGCCGTAAAGGGTGGTTTCCTCGGCAGCAAGCTGAAAGAAGGTTGTACGACGGGTGGTGGTGTCGCCGTCGCAAGCGGCTGGCGCCAAGGCCCGTTGGATGCCGCAGGACAGGTGAGCTACATATGGCGGCGTATACAGTATGTACAGCAGTATGGCTCCACATATGTACTCCGTAGATGTACAGTAGTAAGTAGTAGCTGGAAGAGGGGGATCACCTAAAGGGTTCGTCGATACGTTGTTACTTCTTGAGCAATCCCGTCGACCGAACACTCATGACTTCATCGGGACTTATGCTCGAATTGATCAGACTTGATCAACATCGAAGTGTAGACTGCACCTCGCAGCTTGGTGGTGGATGTCGTCGTCGCAGCAGAATACTTTACGTCAGCATGCCGTTCACATTGAACGGTGTTGTGTACTCGCTTGATACGCGAAAAACCACCGAAATGGTCGATAGGACGTCAACTCCCCCATTGTTGAGCTGTTTCGCACACACCGTGTTTTTGAGTAGGCGGTGTACCAGGCAGCAGGTAATCGGCAAGATATATATAACGGTGGTGGCTGTCAGTGGTCCCAACGCCAGGGAGTATGCCAACACGCTTCCCTCCATCGCACGCACCAGATGCAACAAACAAGTCGCACCAAATGCAAGTCATGCGCTCGCGCAGCACGCGTTCAGAAATAACTGTAGCATCCATGAAGATAAAACTGTTCGACTTTCCGCGCACACATACCTACCTCATGATCTTGCGGCGGCGGCGGTTGTTGTCTCTATTCCCTGCCACACGACAGCTCCTGGACCTGAGCGATCGCAACCTTCTCTGCTTGAGCGTGCGGGGCGACGAGGCGGTGTTCGGGAGCGCGGACCACTCCCTGTACTGTGTGGACCTCTCGCGGGGGATCACCACGCGCCAGCTCTACGGCTCTCGATCCAAGCCCGACGCGGGACACACGGAGTGGGTCTCGGTCGTGTGCCACACCGCCCAGGGAGACATCGCCTCCGGAGGCGTCGACGGCAAGCTCTGCCTCTGGCCCCGCGGAGGAGGAGGAGGAGGAGGAGGCCGAAACCCGGGAGAGGTCCAGGCCCACGCGGGCTCGATCTCGGCGATGAAAGCGGACGAAGAGGGGAGGGTTGCGACGAGTGGGTACGGGGGCGCGGTGCGAGTGTGGGACTGCAGGAGGAGCGGCGGCCGGGGCGGGGCGCCGCCGCGGTTGTCCGGCGAGCTCTCCGACGGCGGCCTTCCCGCCCCGTGCATGGACTTCTCCTGGTCGTCCGACGGACGGCGAGCGGTGGTGATGACGGGGCACCGCGACGGCCGAGTCGGGTTCTTCGACGCCGAGACGGGCGCGATCGTCGCCGGCGGCTGCAAAGGCGGGGCACATCGCGGGCACGTGACGGTAGTCGAGGCGCTCGACAACATGATGGGCGTTTCCGGCTGCTGCTTCGCGACCGGAGGGCAGGATGGCTTCGTACGCATCTGGGACCCGCGAACCGGGGCAATGGAGGGAGGGGGAAGTACCTCGGTGGGTGCAGGGCCAGCAGCGGTGATGGAGGCGCCCGCTCACCGAGGCCCGGAAGGGGTAGGCGCGGTGGGCGGGCTCATGGTTGCCAGGTCCGGAGGCAACCGCCTCGCGTCCTTCGGTGCCGACAGGCGGGTGTGCGTTCTCGAGGTTCGAGGGGGAAGAAGCGGCGGCGGTGATGATGTTCGGCGTCATCGGGAGCAGTCTTCGTCGTTGGCCATCGAGCACGTCTTCGATGAACACCGAGACTTTATCTACTGCATGGATTTCGTACCCGTCGGCAGTGGCGCCGCAAGAGCGGGGAGTGGCGGCGATGTTCTTGTGACGGGAGGAGGCGACGGCATGTTGCTCGTTCACGATCTCGACTCGATGCGTCTGTTGTACGGCCTCGGCTGCTGCAGCACCGGGGCAGTGCGTTGCGCCGTGGCTAGAGAAAACATGCTGACGGTTGCTGGAGACGACGGCAACGCCATGCTGTATTCGTTCGGAGGGGACACAGCAGAAGAAGTTGGGGGGAGAACGCCGGGGAGAAGAAAGTAAGCCGGAAAAAAAGTCGTGAACGGGCCCGACTAGACCAAGAGTGTCGGCCGCACGTGATGGAACAATGCAAAACTACGTGTATGGAGAGCAGCAGGGAGGGGGGGGGTGGGGGGGGGTACTCATGTTTTGCATGCGTTGGTGGTGAGACTGTTGACCACGCGTCCTCGAAAAGACGAAGGATTACACAGCAGCAGCGGTGATGATTGATCCAGAGGCCAGGGAGCAACTGGCGAGAAGCCTGCTTCTTCCCTCGGCCGCCACCGCGAGCGGAGTATTTTCTGTTTTTCGTCCCATCCATCCTGGGCACCACGTTGTTAGCACGTACGGAGGGGGTGGTACACGATCGGTTGTTGCCTACGCCTTCCCTGAGCTTTGGTGCTTGCCTTCGATCTCCAAACAAACGCAAGAGGGTTCGGCAATCCATTCTGTTGTTCGCGTACTCAAGACTCTCCTCCCCGAACCTACAAGTAAGGAAGTCAAGCCCGTTTTTAAGACGAATGCATCGCACAGATGTTCAACACAGTCAGCGTGCCCGAGTGGTTAAGGGGATGGATTCGAAACCCATTGTGATTTCACGCGCAGGTTCAAATCCTGCCGCTGACGTCTTCTGCGACACACGCCGAATATTTTTTCGGAATCCCCGGACCGAAAGACACGGCACCGAAATTAAAGTGGCCGGAAGCCGCGAAGGTGGAGGGGGGAGTACCCACCCTGGCATGCGGCGGTGCTGCAGGGAGCTGAGAGGTTCATGACCTCCTGGCACGAGAAGGAAGAAGAAGCCAGCCGACAACGAGCGCTCAAAAGAAACCACAAACCAACAACCAATGGGGCGGGAGGGGGGCAGGAGACGGACGAGACGGCGAGGGAAGAAAGCAAACGAGAAGAGATGGACCGAGTGGCACGCTGCGTGCCAGATTGAATTTCTTTTAGCCAATTCCCCCCCCCCAACGGTGCACCATTGCACCAACCCCCCAGATGACGTGCCACTACAATGTATCGCTGGTTGGTGGCCATGTTTGCGTGTTCGTTAGTGGTCTCTCCATCGTGTGCCTGTTTCTGCCTCTTCTTTCTTGTTACTTTCGGCCTGGTCCGTTTTTGTCCTCGCTCTTTTTCATTTTATTTTCATTTTATTTTCATTTTATTTTCTCTTTTTCTTTACGGTTTCCTTTTTATTTTATTTTTTCTCTTTTTCTCTCTTTTTCTGTGCCAGATGGCCTTGTCTCTGCTTGCGTTGTGAAGTACCAAGATTGAACCAAGGGGGGGGTGTACCTCTTTCTCTCCGGCCCATGATAGTGACTCTTAGTCTTGTTGATACCTCGCATAAGAGCGCAGAGGGAGTGAGTGGAGGATTCCAGAATATCTGTCGTTGATTTCTATTGACTTGCGGATCCCTCGGGGCCAGTCTGTTGAGTGTACCTTTTTTAGGGTAAGTTAACCTGTGACCACGGCAATCGACCGCGTCGAGTGTTGGATCAGTACGGACATCGAAGGTACTGGGTAGAGCGAGATCGGAACGGTTTTTTAATGTGAAGACAAAAACAACAACAATCGCCCAACTCAGTGTGACACGGGATTCCCCCGCGAGTGCCGCAAGATGTAAGCTGTAGGGAGGGCTGGCTGTGGATGTAGCTGTAGGCGGAGAGCAAAAACCAGCTGAAACAATTAATTGACGGCATATTCGCTTGCATGATCGCGTGCTTTGCAGCGTTCGGTGCCAAAACGCTCAAGGAAGGGGATGCGAAGTGGAAGGAAGAAGTCACTCTCCGCAAACTTACCACTGGAGTGAGTTGAAGTTTGTGTGCAAGCTCTGTGTCATGACGCACGTACAAGTATACATACCCGCACGCGTGAGAATGTTCTTCCAAGAGAGTGCCTGGTAGATGATGACTCATGCACACATGCACAACCGAAAGTGTCCTCCTCAATCCAACTACACTGGAGTAGCGTGTGCGTGCGAGCTCTCTTCGTTCATTCAGTGCATATCCCAAGAGGCAGACGTTGCTCCTCAGATTTATTTGTCCACGGCTTCGGCATCGCACTTGTACCAAGGGGTGCGCGCGCTTCGCAGCAGGTATGCATACTCTTATCCACCCCGCTCCAAATTGTCGGTGGCTCAAAAAGTGTCGGAGCAAAAATCAAGTAGCCGACGTTTTTAGTCGCAACGAAAGCTCAACACCCACGGGGCTTCAGGTTCGTAAAAAAATGATGCTCGTGAAACCTCGAGTTTGAGGACGTTCGACTTTTCAGCGGCCCGTCACGCGCCCGATTCACCTCGAAATCAACCTCCTCTGCAGGTTCAGGTTGTTGCGTGCTGAACATATCTGCGGCGACACCGACGGGTGAACGGCCGCTTTTGCGCTTTTTGGGTAAAACCCCGACCGGCATCAGTAAAGTTGACAAAAAGGAAAACGTGGACGGGGAGGGGATCTTGTTTCATGTTCCGAGAAATCTTTACTTTCCAGAATCCACGAAATAAACAAAAAAAAGGCCACACGCCAAAAAATCAAACAAAAACGGAGAAGAAGGGCACGGCAACTCAGTGCCATCAACAACAAACGACATCAAAATCGAACATGCTGCAAGCTGCTGCTTCTTCTAATCGTCGCCAGGATGTGACACAACCAACAGCTGTTGGCGACGGGGCAACAACGCCGAATATACCGACGGGCCCGCCAACAACCCCGTGCCGAGGCTGAAAAAACGGTGAAGACCGTACGGTTTCTTTAAAGGTGGCACGGCGTTATCGTGTCTAGTTCAACCAACGAGCCATGTCATACCGCCCCCCGCCCCCCCCTCTCCGCCCTGCAGAACAATATTTGATTTGCCAGTCTACCATCAAAGACAAAAATACAAGCTGCTGGGTACGGGGACAGTCGACCTTTCTGGCTTGTGCCCCCAAGCTACCTACTGAAGGGCAGATCAACACGGGAGCTCTCCCCGAGGCAGGCAGGAAGACCCCGCCCCCCCCCTCCCGCGCCAAATTCCCGGTGCCGCTCCTCCAGAAACATTGTGGTCACTTCTCTAACAAAGGAGCGAGTAGTGCGTTCGAGCCGTTTTACCTCCTCTCGTCGTATTCGGCGAAGAAGTCACCCTCCGGCTGCAAAAAGGCAAGCGAACAGCCGAGACGAAAAAAAAAGATGATGGTGAGACGCAAAGAACGGGGGTGGGACCAGTACCGAGGACACGGGTTGTGCGGTTGCAATGACATCGTGCTGTTCGCGGTCTCTTACAGAAATCTGCGCCAAATTTCCCGGCGTTCGCTCACAGCATGCTTCGCACGCTGTAGCGGATATAAGCCCATAGGGTGAGTTGGGGATTTTTGCAAGAGCTCTTGGACCTCGGCAGTCACTGGTTAGTGCTTTCGTGCTCAGCCACTAGATTTCAATCAAGAGTGAATCAACAGACAACCTGCGGGTATAGCAGGACGCCCCAGATACAAGCTGTGGTTTACAAACTGCGTCTCGACAATGCGAAAAACAGAGGTTATAACCCGCTCGGCGCACCAAAGGTGGACCCACACCAACGTTTTTGAGACCCTTTCTTTAGCAAACAAGAACTGGGGGTGAGGAGAAATTGAAGTCTTTTCGTTCACGTGGGGGTCTTGTTTGAACGGCGCCGACAAGGAAGTACCCGCGTCGAAGAACCGCGTTCTTGCGAAACAACGGTAGCCTTTGCTTCGGACAAATATATTTTGAGGCAAATTCAGTACAAACCTCAGGCCCTTGACAAAAAAGCTCACGCAACAGCAGTAGATGCTCAATATCGGGCTATGCACATTTAACCGGTACCCGACGCGCCCTTCATTAACCTGTATATGTTACTGCCAAGGAAGCACTTGCCTCGCGCGTACATCCAGGCCTTCTCAAGGCGCGACAACCAACATGCGAGCCTAGATGTACTCGGTACGACATGAACGCTCGCGTAGCTGCGTCAGCGACAGACACCCTATATCCTCGTTTGGAAGTGTGATTGCAGTATCATATACTCGGAAGTACTTCAGCAATGATGTGGTAGTATAACAGACAAACGTTGCGGGATATTGTACGTACTGCTGTGTCAGAGACAAGAACACGCCACTGCTGTGTTTTCAACCCCTCGATCAAAATGACGGCCACCACTGTGTGCGTGCGCCTCTGGGGTTCTCTGCAAAGGCCTTGAAAAGTCAACATGGGGGCCCATATTTTTGTTTCCGCTTCAACTCTCGCCGGCGCAGAACGCACATAAAACAGCAGGGTGAACTCCTTTGCTGTACATACAGACACGCTATGGACCGCATAGCCGCTTGGCCGCTAGACAGCAGTAGCTACAGTAGATTCCTCACCTGGTCCTTTGCCCAGTTGTTGAACAGCAGGTTGATGCTGACGAGGAAGAACAGCGGAACGATCACAGCCTGCGAGTTCTCGAACCCAAGCGGCTGGAGAGAGAGATTGGTTGTTGTGCAGGAGAAGTCAACCGTCGCCCCGCCAAAACAGCAGACAGCATCAGGTGGACACACGGGTGGGAGGTAAGGGTCAAACAAAACTACGGACGATGGAAGAGGAACGGACGGGTGCAGTCATGCAGTTGTGTGTGCATCAGAAAACGGCAACAGGCCTTCGGCATCAGGCTTTCGGCAAAGGCGTTTCCGCAAAAGGCATTTGTCGATCAGACCAATAACATGTCATACGCGAACAACACGCTCCCGGACACATCTTCCTGTGTCGAGTGGCGACATAGGGGCAGGCCGACAGGCGCCATTTCTGGCACACTTCAGATATGCATACAACCTGATGATTATGCTATACATGTAATGAAAGACATCAAAATCGTGTGACATACGGCGGTTTTGGGGAAAAACATGCTCTCCCATCACCCTCTAAATTGAAGTACTTTTCAGCATCACGAGATGCCCGGCAGAGACGGTGTGAATCGACACCAGAACTGCTGCTTGAGGCGCATTTCAATACGACCGTGAATCAAACTCCAGGGCGCCTGCCTGCTGCTGGTGGCCCACAAATCAGCACACAGGCCGACCCCCGAATCAATCAAGAACCTGACGAGTTTCGCGAGTTTTTGGGGAACGAGCTTCAAGTCGACCTCGTGTCCCGTTGACTCACCCACCCACCGCATGAACACAGCAGCACATTCAGTTTCGATCATTTTCGCTTTCCTCTCTTCTAGGAGGCAACACGAAGGACCACGTACCTCGCCAGTCCCCTCAGTGGCCAAGGCAGGCGCGGCGGTGAGCACCGCGACCGATGCCGCGTTGGCGACCTTCTGAACGTCCTCCTTGAGGCCCATGCGCATGGGTGTGGCAGCGGTCGAGGGACGCACGGCGGCCGAGAGGCGGGGGCCGGTGGGCGCAACGAATCCTGATACCGCCGTGAGGCACACCACGAAGAATCCAAGGAACTTCATTGTAGCTGTGAAGGGTTGTCGTGTTACGGGTGATACGGGTGCTATCAACGAGGGTGACAGGGGGAACAGAGGTCGATCTTGTGTTGTAACGAGGGGAGATGAAGAGCTTCTCCCTCAAGTTATGGATGTTCTCTTTTCCGGGGTTACCTCTCCAGCGTCCCCTTTTCGGAGATTGCATTTTCGGAGATTCCTTGCGTCATTTTCGGAGATTTCGTTGCTTGCCCAGCCCAGCAGCCAGCAGCCCCCAGCACTGGCTACTCCACGTCCCATTCGCTCTCTCCCTCTCTCTCTCTCCCGCTCCGTCTCGGCGCGCTGACAACGTGGCTTCAAAGCTGGTGTGTTGGTGGGTACCGACGGTGTGATGACGTGAGGGATGTGATCACACCCACTCACAACCGCGTACGTTCAGGAACCAAGCACCAAGTCGGAAGGAGAGCGACCTCGGTCGTGTCCTTGCGTCGAAGTTTGAATTTCGCTCCAGACGGAGACACGAACACACCAGGACAGGACACGGGCAGCCTACCCCTTAGGGTGGGTTCTCCGCACCTTGCGTGGGTCTCAGCATGATGTTGATGTTGAAGGCTCGTGGCTCGATTCGTTGCCGTTCGGCAGCAGCGGCAGTACGGACGACACCACCGCTAGAGAGGGCGCCCATATCCATATCCTCCACGATGAGAAGGTTTAGCACCAGCACCCACAGCGGGAGGACCACATCGCCGGAGCAGCATCAGGAGTGGAAGTCGGTGTACAGAGCCTTCCTTCTCCACGTGCATCCTGATTTCTTCCACGAGTCTCCCAAGAAACGCGCGGTGAACGAGAAGAGTCTCAAGTCGTTTTCCCAACATCTTGACCGACTTGAACTTGGCGGCGAGAACACCCGCAGCGGCGGTGTGCACAGCAGGAGCAATGCGGCTAACGGGAGCGCTTCACCGCTGGTTTTCTTCCTAAAGCAAGCCGGAGAGGAAGGTGCCGGCTCTAAGAGCGACGGCAGCCCCTCGTGTGGGAAGGTCATGCTGCCGCTAGGATCTCACCGCCAGATGGCGACACATTTGTACGACTCCGGCATGTCAGGCGTCAATCCCCCACAAGCCTCCGCCGAACAAGCTTCGACTCGTCGTCACCACAGCAGTCGCCTTGCCGATAGCAGCAACAACGACAACCCCTCGGAGTGGCACGGCTGGGAGGATGAGCTGTTCGGCGGGACGGCAGCCAACAGGGCGTGGGACGAGGCGGCGGCTGGTCGAAACGGGAGTAGACACACACACGGTCGGTCAGCCTTCAGCAGCGGCGACGACAAGACCCGCGAAGGGAGACAGAGGACGACGGAGTGGGGCGCGGCCTTCGAGCGTCGGAGCGGCCATGCCTCGCGGCTGGGACAGATCCTGTCCACGGATGAAGGGAGGGCTCTGGTCAGGGAGCGCCGGTCTAGCTCGAGGAAGGTTCGACGGCTGGTGGGAAAGCTGCGGGAGCAATACGGCTTTGGCGAGTTCACCTTCAGGTGTGCTTGTTTTTCTGCAGATGACGTACTTACTCCCATGTGGGTGTACACGTGTAAACATTACCGCTCAAGTTGTTGGAGGGATAGTTGAATACCTCGTATCTGTTTGCATTGTCTCGTCAGCTCGTAAGTGTTTCCTAGATTCTGTCATCAAGGCCACGCGTGGTTAAATAGTATGTACTGTAGCACGTTGTTTTTCTAGGGTAAAGTACGGTTCTCCAACGTCAACTCCAACCCCACGCACGAGGAGGACAATGTACCCCACGTGCATCCCAGTGGCTATTGGAAGTAGATGATAGATCCCTTCACGCAATGTGTTGGATACTAGTAGTCGTGGCATTTGTCCGGGTTTCCTCGTTGTGACGACAAACGCACCACCTATCGCCGAACGATGTTGGCAGGTGCGGCTGGAGCAAGTCGAATCTTTGTGTGGCTCTGGGCTCCCTGCTGGAGACATGCCGCGCCCGTCGAGGAGAGTTCCTCGTCAACGATTTCGGTGGCCTCGAAGTGGTGTTCCGGAAAGACCCGTCCGTCCTGCACAAGGGTAAGAGGTGATTCGAACACGCTCATTTTCCGCGTTCCTAGCGGTATACATCACCATCAAATCTTGCAAGACCGAGTACACAGGTCGAAAGGACAGGGGAAGTTGTGTGTGTGTTTTCTTTTTAATTTATTTTGGGTAGATTTTTTGTTTTCGGTATGGGGGACACAATTATGCGAGTTGAGACTTCTGTCGTACGCGCGTGATTTTGGTGTTCTTGGTTATTATTTTGGCGGCCGTTGTGCTGATCGACAGCCGGCGATCGCGTTATCAATGTGCGACAGTGCCCACCGAGCAATTCGTTTGCCATCGTTCAAGAATTCAGAGCCTCCACCCAGCTTGCACCGGAACAGCAGTACCTATGTTTGTGTGCTCATGCTGACCGCCCCCCCGACTGTTACAAAATATACCCTCTAGTTCAAGTTCATTGTCTCTTGAAGAACATGTTTCACCCTCTCCCGGTCCCTGTCTGCTCCTTCCCCGATTGGACGGCATTGCTACTGGTCGATTGTTCGGTCGCTTGTGGCCCACAGGGGAGATCCGGCTGTGCCCCGCCGACGTGCCGAATCAGTGGGTATCGGCGCTACGACGCGTCACCCCCGCCGGGCTGTCCGCGGCGGAAGAACACTCCCGCGAGATGATTTCCCTGCAGGAGAAGGCGTCCAGCGCTCTGCGGGGGGCCCGTCTGTCGAGAGGGTTTTCCTGCTCGAAAAGCAGGTGGGTGGGTACAACAACCGCGGGGAGTTTACCTTGTTGGTGGAGGTTCTCCCCCTCGTGTGGTCTGCATGTAGCCTACCTAGGCTAGGTAGGGTGCGAGTGTGTGGTGCTGTAGATTCACGGGCGACTTCGACCGAATGTTGGTGTGTCGGTTTCGCCCGACTACCCTTCTCTCACCACCACCCCGCTCGTCCTCCTTGCCGTCGCGGGTTTTGGTTGCAGATATCGCGACTTCTTGAGCAAGGTTTGCGCAGCGGCGGACGCTGAGCCCGACGAAGGTGGCGGTGGCGGTGGCGATGCAGCCACAGATTTGGTGGAAGGCGATTGGTCGGATTTGCGGTGCAGGGTAGAGGAGGGCTTCCGTCGCGTCTCCACGGTGCTAGAGGACGGCACCATTCAGGTAAACCGGCGATTGTGGGTGGTCGTTTCGACCTTGATGGACCGTCGGAGTGAAGACCAGGTTTCTCTCGGGTATCACTTATCACGCCTAGAAGCAAAGAGCTCAGCGCTAGTTGTTGCCGTGTGCTACCGAAACGTTGAGATGTACGCTTCCTCAATATTATGTTAGGGGCGTTGTGATTTTGACTTGTCTCGGAGACTACTCTGAAACCGGGACGTGAGACCCGTTTCGCACATGTTGTTTGTGCGTGATTTTCGATTGGTTTCGTGACTGCTGCTGTAAAGCTCTCCGACGCACGCCCACGCTTTGGTTTGGTACCAGCAAAAAAGATCCTCGGTGTCGTTGTTCGCTCTCCACCTTTCGGGCAGGTCGGCTCCGACATGACCCTGAAGACCCTTCGGCGGTGCCTCGGGAGAGACTCGGACAGCTCTTCCGCCGCCACCGCCGACTACCTCAAGCTGGCGGTCGCGGAGGCCGCGACGGTCGAGCGCTGCAGACAGTCCCTCGGCCTCGAATCCATCAAGCGGTCCCGCCACGCCGTCGGCAACTCGGAGATGGTCATCGCCTGCGAAGCCCTCGTCAGGTTCAGCGAGCGGGCGAAGAGCGGCGGGGACTTGCGAGCGGAGAAGGAGGCGGTCGCCGCTCGGCGACGGTTGAGGGGCCACTGCGTTAGGGTGGTGGGGTCGAGGGTGGGCGTTTGCGACGGGGTGACGGAAGATGGGGAAATCGTGCTCCCCTGGAACTGGTGGGAGGAGGAGGATGGAGAGGAGCGACGGTCTTCGGCTCCGGTCTGGTGATGATAATTGTGTTTCGGTGTGTTTTCGGTCGGTTCCGAGAAAATTAGACTAGAGATGTTGGAACCGGGTAAATTTATTCCTGAGAGAATTAGACCACAGGCTTTATGCATAGAAACGGCCAAGGTCATTCCCTTTTTTCGCCTGGGATTTCATGTGTTTACTCTTTTGCGGGTTACGGTAGGCAATTAGTGCCGTGTTGTTCGGGTGTTGCTGTGACGTGTTTAGTTGCGGGGCTCTTGGACGTCCTCTTAAATTGTAGAGACCACTACCGCTAAGATGCTAATGATTTCGAGGACTGACTTCAGTTTTCCCCCTGTTTTCGCCTGGTATTTTGTGTGTTCTTTTGCGGCTTGCGGTGGGAAACTAATTCGGTGTTCGAGTGGTGCTGTGACGTGTTTGGTTGTGGGGCTCTCGGACGTCCTCTTAAGCGGCAGAGGCGACTTCGCCTGTGTGCATACGGTTGCGAGCACTCACAAGAGTGAAGTAGCTCCCAACTTGGTTTCAGCGAATGCCGTGTGGCGGTAGCTCGGTGTTCCAAGGCGGTCGGTGGTCGCCAGGGTGTGGAGCTCCTTCAGTACGGCGCACTCTCCTTTATTAGCTAATATTCAACTCATGAACTTTCTCATGTCGCAGGCAAGAGCACGAGATACGTCTACTCACTCCTATTTACAAGCCAACAGCTAGATACAGCACGTCAGGGCACCGTTTCTAATCCTTTCACATCGCCTATACGCACGCCAAACTGGAACCCTTTCCCCGAATCAGTCAACTGGCATCACACGAACGCCGTCGTATCACACGAACGCCTGCGATGTCCGCGACTGCTTACGATCATCCACCACACACGCGACGAAAAGAGGCTGCCAAAAGCAGCCACACCTTGATTGACATCATCCACTAGTGGTATCCTCCCCCGGAGACATTTAAGACTTTCGCACGCCGACACCGCACAACCCGCCCCCCGGCAGAAGCTGTTCGGTTTCCATCAGAGCATTCTGCAAGCAACCGCGCTCGACTTGCCAAGCGTTCCTCCACACCTTCCACTGCGAATAAATGCTCTCAATACCCCGCTAAAAAAACAATTCTCATATAAAATCTGTACAGAATCAGCCTAGCGCGCTCGTCTCCTGATGATGTCGAGAGACACCCAGCAGCCGAACAAGCTTCTTGCAAGTAACTCGAAAACCTTAACCCGGCGATACACGCAGCCCAACGTTGCAAATACAACACAAACCCGCCTTGTGGGTCGTGAAACACGAAGCCAATCACCCGACATGCCGGCCCTGGGATCCCACAAGCCACCTTTCTGCGGCCATAGAGCGACCCTCGGAAATGATGCCCACCCGGTCTGTCCTTGCTGAATAATTCCAAATGCTGCTACTGCTGCTGTCCTCCTACGTAGTGTGGGAACCACATGGCGAGGACTTACAACAGTCCCGCCATTCTTGACTGGTCGTTTCAGCCGTTTCACCCGAACAACGCGCGGCCCAACACCAGTTTGAGACCACCAACGCGTAGCGCTAATTGGTGGGAAGGCAGTTGGGCTGAGGTTACGGTTTTCTGCGTCTCCTCCCTAAACTCTCCCCTCTGCTACGAACCTCAGGCGCACCCCGCACCCCCCTCCTGTAAACTACCACCACTGCTCTCACCTTGTTCTAATTGTATGCATACAGAGGTTTGATAGCGCGTTTGAGACTGTATGCGTACGTACATCCTTAGACTGCCGGCACCTTGCCAGTGCGAAAATACTAGCTGCTGAACCCCCTTTTGCAGACTAGAGTGCATCGTCTTCTGCCCTCCACAGCATTTATAAGACGAACACGTACCGTTTGCAGACATGAGCGTCTTCGTCGGGCGTTTTCCTCTCGGAATAAGACGGTCGCGTTTGTCCAAAGTCAGCCTCACACACAACTTCCCGAACAACACATGATGCACTCGTGGTGGATCAGCCCAGCCACATTTCACTCACGGGTCGACGACGACACAACCAAAATCAGCCGTGGCCACACGCACCACGAGGCAAGTCCCATCCATGGGGCCCCCACCGGTCTCGTCTGCCACTCGACAGTGATTGCGCGCGCGTACACATACACATTCGGGTGGGGGCAGCGCGTCTTGCAGTTGTTCCGAATTCGGCGGCGGTGGCGGCAGCGGCGGAATTACAACTACAGTTTTTATTGGTTCTCGTTTCCTTGGCCGCGCTACAGCCCCGGCCAGGTGTGCCGGGAAGCTCCAAGGGGAGTTGTATCGGGGTGCTCAACAAAACCGCTCGTAGCGCGCCTTGATGTACTCCAGGCCTTCTTCTTTCGTCCCTTCCGGGTTGGCAATCATCCACTTGATTTGGTCCTGAGGGTACCGCATTCGGCGAAGAAAACAATCACAAGACAACAAACAGGACCGGCAGAGGCAAGAAAAACGAAAAAAAAAGCATCGTTGCGCATGGATGTGTTTGTTGGGGGGCGCAATGCAAGTAAGCCGCGTGAGACGCGACATCCGTGTGCTGAGATATCACAAGACATGCGCGTGCGGGACGCAAGCGGTGTATCCTTGACAAAGCGACCAACTTCTGCCGGACGCACACCACGACACTTGGGGGCCGTGTTTGTCCGCCGCTCGCCTGTCCGAGAACCCGCCGGCCATTTCAGGGCTGTTTAGCCAGCTAGACATCTCTTGACCAAACCGGCAATTTAAGAGCTTTTCCAGCCTGACTTCTGACCAAACCTACATTTTAGGAATGTTTTTCCCAGCCAGGACGTCTGTCGCCGGACTGTTGTCTAGCTCCGCCGGTACTAATAGCTGCAGGAACACAACCAACAGACACACCCAAAACTCTCATGAAAACCGTCCCCGCCGCCCGCACAGCAGTCAGTCACTCACATCCATGACCTTCGAGAATACCGGGCCCCTCGGTATCTCGGGCAAGATCTTCTTCACCTCGCCCCCGTTAAACATGGGCTTCAGGTCCCACACCCCCTCCAGCCCCATAGACTCGATCTCCCTCGCCATGGACATGTACGCCGCGATGACCGCCGCGTCTTCTTCCTTGTCGCCCCGGTCCCTGATTTTCCGATACATGCCAACCCGGAAGAATGAGGAAATCCCGAAGCGAAACCGCCAATACGAAGACGACAACGACGTCGACTTGTGCATGGGGACTGGGTTCAGGCATGGGCATCCATCTACACGTACGATGTTGGCCGCGAGAGCGGGTAATATTCGCCCTGCGCTTTTTTTTTTTTTTTTGTCTTGACTTCAAATCAGCGCTCACAGCACTGTGCCGTTTACTCCAACCCGTGGTCACACAGAAGAGCCCCTCTCTACCCTCCTCCCCTCCTGCGGTACTTTGCCTTCGATTTTTAATGCAAGAAGAGTTTAGCACTCTCTTCCCTCTGTGTACACACGAACTAGCGCTATCCACTAGGCCAGAAGCGGAAGCGACAGAAAAACTCACTTTGCAAGAAAAGCTCGCTTACGCCGGGATTCGAACCCCTGACCTGACCTCTAGATGGTTTCGAGGATACCAACTAGACCACCGATTGGAGGCCATGGAGGAAGCAGAAAGGGCTATAATTTTCTACGAGTCACGCAAACTTGTCATGAAAAGGCTGTCGAGCACCCGCTTGCAAATCCGTTTCGAAAAGAACTCCTCGAGCGTGCTGGTGATCATATCGTGCGACCGCGGGCGCGTCTCCGGCGGCAAACGCCGCTTTCACTCCTGCAAAACACGCTGAGACGACGACGACCAAAAAAAAAAACTGCTCTCTCGCATAGTGTGAAGCTCATCTTTGGAATTTCGACGGACTGATCAAATCACAACACATCTCACGCCTAACCACGCCCAACAAAAGCTGAAGCCCCCCCTATAACCCCCAGCACCCGCCTCTACACGCCAAAAAACTCCCCACGTCTCACCGGACATTACTGTCGAGGATGTGTTTGGTTCCGAGATCCCCGGTCAAACCAAGGACCAACGCCACCCGCCACAAAGGTCCGACCTTGTACGTCACGTCACATAAGGGATCGGAACAAACAACGCGCGGGTGGGATTAACGCCAGGGGACAAAGCACAAACTACGCCTTTCATCACCAAGGAAGAAAACAACAAAACAGCAGTGTCTCCTTCACAGTCGTATCTTAAACGAGGCGCCTCTCTTCGATATGGCGAAGCACATAGCGGGGAAACTACGCACCATAGGACACACAAGAGATGTGTCAACTGCATTGATTATCATGTACCTGCCGCACACGTTATGCAGGCAGGTGCTCGACACACAAAAAGAGAGGAAACGGTTCGTACGGGCAATCGCGTCTTCAACACAACACTCCCCGACACTTTCTTACCATATTCAAAAACCAAACACTTGCCTAATCAGTGGTAGTCGAAACGAAAATTCCATCGAGACGAAACCATGGACTCTTAATCTTGACTGCAAAGAGGATTCAACACCACTTGTATCATCATCCCACGCGGTGGGTTGTAACTGCTGCTGTGCTGACTGGTGCTGCCGTGGTTATGTTATGGCAAAAGAAAGCTCACCGCTCTCATCGTCAGTCCCGGTGCCAGGCGGGGGAACGTGATCGGCTTGCTGTTGGCCCGGGTCAAAGGCCCGCGCGCAGTCTTCCGGAGTAGAAGCTGGAAGTCCATCGCAGCGCTGTCGGATCGTCAAGGGCAATCGCGCAGGAAAGCAGGGGGCTGAGGGATCAACGCCACAGACCAAACGGAAAGCAATTCAAGCATGTTCTCGTCTTCGCCAGTTCGCCAGTGTTACACTTCTGATGGCTACGCGTTGCCGCTCGTCAGATCGTGAAGAGCAATCGCGCGAGTAACAAGGGGGCTGACGGTTCAACACCAGTAACTAAACGGAATCAAGTTATGCCCGCTCTCGTAGTCATCTGTGTGGCTGATCGCTATATTATAGTTTCGGCGGCTAAGGGTTCAAATCCAATGAAGGTTGGTTCAGGCGTTCGGTCGAAATCAGCATCTTCGCCGCTTCAAAAAAGAAAACGTCAACAGCACGGCGATAAAGGTCACAACCAACCGAGAATTGCATGCCCTTACGCAGCCGAAATCAGCATCTTCGCCGCTTCAAAAAAAAAAAAACGGCAACAGCACGGCGATAAAGGTCACAACCAGCCGAAAATTGCATGCCCTTACGCAGCGCGTAGGGCACACAACTGCACGTCGAGATGCGCGAAATCCCGTGAGCACGCAACTTTTCGTCCCACTGCCGATACGTCGTGCACTCATCCATCAAAACTTGCGTTGAAAAAACGAACGATCAAACGTACCAGAGGTGCGGAGCACATTGGTTCCACTGCTGTCGATATGTCGTGCGCCAATCCACAAAACTTGTTGAAAAAAACACAATGAAACAGAGGTGCGAAGCACAATAACGGCACGGCTTCCTTAGGCATGTAGTAACGTATCCCACCTCTGCAACTGCAGCACTCGCTGCGGGTCCTTCGCCCGAAGCTTGAGGTAGTCTGCCATCATCACCTGGATCAGCGGAACCTGGCAAAAAAAAACAAAACACGATGGCCGACCGACAAAACCATGTGCCCAAGTTAGCGGTGTGGCGATTGAGAAGAACACGGAGTGCACGCAACGATCGGGACAGTCAGCCAAGATTTAGGAAACCCGGTGAGAAAAGAACAAGTTGTTCGTGACACAGCAGTCCAAGCAGTACCCCACCAGGCAACCTTGTTTCTTCTGTGCGGCACGTATGTATCTAGTCGTCCGCGAGGTTCTCGCGCGTGGTGGGGCGCGTTCCAGCCCAGACCGACGAAGGCTTTCCACATCGGGGCGGCAGCGTGTTGAGACCTGATCGCCAGGGTGCACGCCGACGTGCGGGAGCCATAGCTCGAGAACCTGTCGAGCTCGGATGCGAGAGAGTCAATCCAAAGGGGGGGGCGGGGGCTTACGGGGCTCCTGATGCGTTATTGGCCATCAACAGCCCCTTGAAACCCTGTTCCCCCATTGAATTGATTCGCATCCGGGCTCGACAGTTTCTCGAGCTATAGCTCCCGCACCTCGGCGTGCACCCCGGCGATCAGGTCTCAATACGCGAGACTTCAGGGAGAGGACGCCAAGGTATATGTAGCGCGATCCGTACTCTTGACGTGGCCGGCAACCACGAAAAACAAAAAAGGGAAATTTCAATTTCATATCTGTGGAGGAGACAATAGTGTGCTTCTGTATGAAAAAAATTCAGGATAAGATCAGACACGTGCAACGTTCATAGGCGGATCGGAAACACCGAAAAAAAAAAAAAAAATGGCGGGCAAGGGCATGCATCCGCAGCTCCTTTCCAGGCAGTCCCAATGCCCGCTCAACCCCGACCCTCTCCGCTCACGACACTTGAAAGCACAAGACACAAAAGTGAGAACCCTCACGGTACAAAAAACAGGTGTGTAGACTGGTGCCAGAATACATGACATGAATGAGCGCACGCACAACCTGAAACCAGCTTGACCAATCAACATTACCCGTCGAGCCTCAACCCACGCAACCTGTAACCCAGCTTGACCAATCAAACACCGGCCGTTGAAGCCTCAACTCACATTTGCGCGCTTCTGGTTGGGGCACATGCTGTCCGCCAACGGCAGCAGGAACGCCGCGTAGAGGCCCAGCCGCCGCATCTCCTCCTTGTCCATCCCCTCCGTCACCGTGATCCCCGCCTTCCCTCGCTGCGTGCCGGCGCCTACCGCCTTCTTCGAACCACCGCCCTTAACCTTGCCCTCCGCTCCTTTAACTTTTTTTGCCGCCGTCGCTTTTACCCCTTTTAGCCGCTCGCGGGCAGCGGCAGGCGACACCTCTTCCTCCTCTTCTTGCACACCCTCATCTCCAACGCCGGGACCGAAGGCGTTGAAATCGTCTAGCACTGTCTGTTCTCTGTCGAGGAGGTGGAACATGTTCTGCCAATTGACGTTTCGGCGCCGAAATGTTTGCCGAAACAGCCCAGACAGCGGTGGGTAGTTCGCAACGGCAGGGGAGGGGGGGGGGGGGGGGGGGGGGTTTTTTTCTTTGGGCGTGAAAAAAAACCCCCCCCGGTAGGGGGGGGGAAAGCCCGGGGAACCCTTTAAAAACCAAAGAAAA